TCGTACTTGCGCATTCTAGTCATTCATTCCTATGTTCCTATATTGACATGCTCTTCATGCAACAGCCTGACTACTACGATGACGGGACCGGCCACGTGTGCAAGCTGCTGAAGAGTTTGTACGGGCTGAAGTAGTCGCCACTGTTGTGGTACTCGTCAGTCGACACTGTGCTGATCGGATCCGGCTTAGGAAGAAGGCAAGTCGACGAGGCGCTGTACTCCAAGGCCGGCAACGATGGAGTGGCATGCTGGTGCCAGTCTACGTCGACGACCTTCTCGCCGCTCCCAGCAGCAGCACTGCGATGCTGAAGGAGTTGCTAGAGTTTGCCTTCGAGCTGCGCAAGATCAGTCTGGTCAAGTATTTTGGGATGGAGATCTTGCATGACCAACCGGCGAGGAAGATGTGGTTCTACCAGCAGACCTACATCGACAAGCTGCGAAGGCGCTTCATCGAAGAGGAGCAAACCGGGCGGATTCCGAAGACGCCGATCTCCGTCGACGCCTACGCTGAGCTGACGTTTGATGAAAAGGAGTCTCAGTCGTGCGAATTCCGGCAGAAGGTCGTCTCGCTGCAGTTCGTGCAACCACGAAGAGGCCGGACATCGCCTTTGCGTGCAGCAAGCTGGGGAGCGGCCTGACGGTGCGAAGTGGCCACCAATGGTGTGAGATCGACCGCTTCCTGCACTACCTCGCCGACACCTGTGACGCTGCCATGGAGTTCGGCGGCGGATCTGTGTCATAGCGACTGGTCGGCTGCGCGGACGTCGACGACGCCGGCAACAAGCAAAATCGCAGCAGCACGAATGTCTATCTAGTTGTCTAAGATGGGGCCGCAATCTCCCGGATGAGTTAGCGCATCAAGTGCATGACGCTCTCATTAACCGAGTCGGAGTATATCGCGGTTGCCGAAGCCGGCAAGGAGGCACGTTGACTTCGCTTCCTCCTTGCCGAGTTCCAACTTCTTGATGTAGGGAAGCCGACCATGTTGCACGTAGATAACCAGTGTGCCATCGCGACTGCTGACGGCTTGGGATTGGAAGGGCAACTTCAAGCACATAGAGCAACGCTACGCCTGGCTACAGAAAATGGCGAAGCACGGGAAGATAGCCTTGCAGTCCATCCCGACTACCGAGCAGCCGGCCGACTTCCTGACGAAGGCGCTGCACTTTCTGGCCTTCAACCGGTGCGCTCTCGCGATTGGCCAAGTACGCTTGGCTGATGTCGGTGACGGTGATGATGACGTGTAGCAGTAGGCGCCATGCCCTTCTGCATGGCTGGTGCAGTGAACGGCATGCTGTGTATTGGATGCACCCTGAGGACAGAGTTTCCCTGTGTATTTGATCCCTTGGGCTCTCGGGTGGAGCTTAGGTGAGGTGCGCGCGCGCGATAGGGGAGTGTTGACGGAAAATGGCCCCACCCTCACTTGGGCGAAACTGACCTTGCAATTGGGTGCGCGGGGGGTGTAGTTGGCTGCCCGCGGACCGCGCGCAACGTCTGCTCGGATGTCGCTGAGTAGGGCATGCAGGTCGACAAAGTTGGTCTACTGCCTGGGACCCCTGTGAAGCCGTCGACGATGGGAAGTCGGCGGCTGACTTCAACTAGGTGGTTGACGAGGGGATTCGTCGACCTGCCGGAGCTTGGACTTGGCAAAGGTCTTTGGGTGGTGTCAACCTGGGCGATCGACGAGCATGTACACCAGTTTGCAAGTTTTCTTGGTCGACCGAGTTACCTAGTCAACGAGGTTCCACGGAGGTATGTGATCGTAGTCAAGGTTGTTGTGGCGAAGTCGACGTGGCTCATCAGGCACAACCGACAGCACGTGGCCAATCTAGCACCTGGGTGATGTGCGTGACGGTGCACGTCGTGCTCAACCGTCTACATGTCAGAATCCCAACCACTAGACCATTGGGATAAAAGGGCTTGTTTCAGTAGCGGGTCCGTGCGCCCATAACCCCCCAGGCAAACGCGCCTGTAACCCTCTCCAGGATCAATCGGGCATCCACAGTGCAGATCTACTCACACCCCCCCACACTGGGAGGCCCAGGACTAAGCACAGCGGCAACGGCCTACATGTGCATACACCGGGAATCGAACCCGAGACCGCTCTGATACCATGTCAGAATCCCAACCACTAGACCATTGGGATAAAAGGGCTTGTTTCAGTAGCGGGTCAGTGCGCCCATAACCCCCCAGGCGAACGCGCCTGTAACCCTCTCCAGGATCAATCGCGCATCCACAGTGCAGATCTACTGACACTACAAGCTCCTGCGAAGTAGGTGTGCGCATGTGTTTTCACCTGCGGTTGCAATGTTGGCATGCCGCCCTACTGCAGCATTGGCAAGCCGCCTTGGTGCAGCACTGGCAGGCCAGCAACTTGCTACGTTGGCAAGCTGCCTCTCTGTAGTGTTTGCTGCGCTGGCGGTTGACCTGCCTGCCTGCTAGGCTGCCTTGCATTTGATGTAGTCATTCTTGCTATTGCAATTCCTATCATTGTTCTCAACTTTTGCTAGTGAAACTTTTGTTGTTTGACCCAGTGAACGCACAGGTGTTAGAGAACACAAACATACTCTACGATCACTCGTACCACCCGTGCTTTCTCTCGTAGTCAAGCTCTCGGTGTTGAGTGATTCTCCGCACCCTTCTCACCTACAAGTTGCCCTCTCAACCACGAGTTGCCCTCTGAACTACGAGTTGCCCTCTCACCTACGAGTTGCCCTCTCAACCACGAGTTGCCCTCTGAACTACGAGTTGCCCTCTCACCAACGAGTTGTTCTCTGAACTACGAGTTGCCCTCTCACCTACGAGTTTCCCTCTGAACTACAAGTTGCCCTCTCACCTACAAGTTGCCCTCTCAACTACGAGTTGCCCTCTCACCTACGAGTTGCCCTCTCACCTACGAGTTGCCCTCTCAGTTCCGAGTTGCCCTCTCAGTTCCGAGTTGCCCTCTCAGTTCCGAGTTGCCCCCTCAGTTCCGAGTTGCCCTCTCAGTTCCGAGTTGCCCTCTTACCTACGAGTTGGCAACATCGCTCGCGTTCCATCTGCCACCAGCAGCTGCGGGTGCAGCAATGTTAGTGTTGTCATCCATACCTGCCATACTTCGCATCAGATGCATCAAGTGTCCACTAATACCTCCCTTTTGCCCCTGCAATACCCCCCCTGCCCATATCCCATCCCTAACCCTCCACCTTCCTTCCCATATTCTAACCACGTAAATCAGGCTTGAAGGAAAGAAAATAACCAAAAACAAAACACACACACACATACACACACACACACAGACACACACACACACACGCACCCACACCCACATACAGACAAGAAATGTGTTGATGGTGAGTTGTGCTACCAGAGGTGAGGAGCACGAGCTGTTGGCACCACTGCAATACTCATGGGATTTCACCTAAGATGCAACTCTTCCATCTCATACATGACTCCAGTATTCCACTCTACTCCCTCTCTTCCTAGACATCACATCCTCCACCTGTGTTCAGCTTGCTGCTTTCACACCACATGTTGCTGTGGGAGGCGGTGAGCGTAGCGCTGGATGGGCATAAGGACTGGTTGGGCATTGCCAAGGCATGCATGCCTCTTGCCGTTAACCATGCGGACACAAGGTATTGTTCTAGGAGCATTGTCATATATACATAACTTAGCAAGTTGTATACCCCATCATAAACACAGTACCCTTGTTCTCATTATTCCCACTCTACATACGGTACAGCCAACACCCATAAACAGGAAGGCATGGCTCATGCAGCCTCCCTTTGTGCCCCTGGCTGGGCTCTTGCCCAAACAGCCCTGCACCTGCTTGTGTCCAACACGACCATTCTCCAACTCTCTGGGTACAACCACCATCCATGCTTCACTCCTCCGCGTTCATGCCTCTCCTCATCCTTCACACCCCTTGCCTCCACATTTCTCCTCAGTCTCTCCTAGACAGCCAGGGTCAAATCTTCCATCACCTCACCCACCTTTCCATCATCACTCCCTGACGCCCTACCAGCCTATCCGCCTGCGCACATCATCATTCACGAGCAAAACATCTTCTGGCATATATAGTGATGTCAGCTTGGTCAGGGCAGTTAGCTGCTGCAGCCCATCGTCCGTGACTGCCGAATGATCCATATTAAGCCTCTCAAGCCCTGTCAGCCTCCCCACATGCACCATGCCAGCTTTTGTCACGCCCTTGCAGTTGGAAAAACTTAGCACCTTGAGAGAAGACAAACCCGTCAACTACTGCCGCCCAGTATCTGTGACTGCCGTCTCATGTATCCAAAGTTCCTCAAGCCCTGTCAACCTTCGCACATGCACCATGCCAGCAGCACTCACACCCTTGCAATGGGAAAGGTCCAACTCTTTGAGAGTGGAGAGTGCTGTCAAGTGCAGCAGACCAGTATCTGTTACTGTCGTCTCATGTAGCCAAAGTTTCTCAAGCCTTGTCAACCTTCCCAGATGCACCACGCCAGCAGCACTCACACCATGGCAACGGGAAAGGTCCAACTCTTGTAGAGAGGAGAGAGCTGTCAAGTGCAGCAGACCAGCACTGGTCACGTTGGTCTGCCAGAGATAGAGCTGCTTGAGACGGGTCAAGAACCCAATGCCTTCCAGCGCACTGTCACGGATGTCTGTGCCATTGAGGTTTAGCAACGCCAGCCGTGGCATGCTGTAGAGGTGCTTCATGCCCTCTGCACTGAAGCCTGAGCTATCTTCCAAGTCAATGCTCGTCAGGTGGGTCATTGTGGACACATGGCCGAGGATGGTGTCCGAGAGGCCGTCATGATTCCTCAGGTCCAGATCAGGAATTGGTGATGCTGACGTGATTGCCTGGCAGAAATGGATGGCGACGGAAAAGGTAAACATGACAAGGGACGGGATGTTCACAGTGACAAGAAGGAACTAGAAAGCAATGTACGCCGTGTGAAGCAATTCATTCAGCACTCACCTCCCACGCAGCCCTCCGATCGCCTTCACTCTGCCGGATTTCCACCTCAACATTCAATCTCAGATCTTGTGTCCTCTGCCAATCGTTGCAGGCTGCCAACTCCTCCATGGCATGTCCCAACTCAACTCCTGCACCTCCCTCCTACTCTCCTCCTCCCATGCAAACTCCGCTGCCATTTCGTGCCTTCTCCTTCTACTCTCCCCTCTCACGCCCCATACATACGATGCCCTACTACCTTCAGCCCATTGCTCCTTGTGTTCTGCCAACTCAACCTTCACTGCTGCCAATCCCCCCTTCACTGCTGCAACTTCCCCCTTCAATGCTACCAACTCCCCCTTCACCGCTGCAAACTCCCCCTTCACCGCTGCAAACTCCCCCTTCACCGCTGCAAACCCCCCCTTCAATGATGCAACCTCCCCCTTCATTGCTGCAAACTCCCCCTTCACTGATGCAACCTCCCACTTCACTGCTGCCAAACCCCCTTTCACCGCTTCCAATACCCCCTTCACTGCTGCCAACTCCCTCTCCCTCTCCTTCTCCACAGCAGCAGTCACATCATTCCCCTCCCCCACAGCAGTCAACATGCGCCCCAAATCATCCACGTCCTCCTTGTGTGCAGCAAGCTCCTCTCTCACAGCTGCCAGCACCGCCTCTTTGACCGCATCAACAAGTACCCCCATCACTCGCTCCGCAGCCATGTCTTCAACGATGGATCCCTGCGTTCCACCACTCCCTGCAGCCTGGAGAAAGCACACAGGCCTGCGTAGGGTTGGGTCGAATGCCACGAGGGAAATGCCTTAAAAGGTGGGGAGAAGGGGATATTTGATGCAGACACAACGAATAATATATTTGGGCATGCGAGGCAATGGAGTCATGTGAACAAGAGAAGACACATAGCAGAAGAAGAGGGATACTTGATAACAAGATGAGCGAAAACAGATGCAATGCATGCTTGTGTCAAGCACTGAGAGGAGAAGCTTGTTCACACGCATGCATCTGGCATAAAGTCAGGCGGCATTGGAACAAGGGAAGGCCAGTTAAAGGAGCAAGGAAGAAGATGTCAGGAGGGGTAAAAACTGCAAGCAAAGACCGGAAAAGAACGAGACTACAAATGGTTGCAGCGAGGAAATGACTGCAGAGGGTAAAGGGTGGAGACTCACTGACTCTAGCTCACGAGGTGGAGACTCTGGTAGTAATGTGACGACTCACGAGCCATGTCAAACTTATATGCTATAGTCTATGTAGGCTGTAGTGGGGTAGACAATATGGGGTACAACACTTCTAGGTTTTCCTACTTGTACCCACCTGCTTGCTAGTTCATTCATTCCTCATTCTTCACATGGTATAGAGCAGGTTCCCTCATGGGAACGCTTCTCAGGGCCCACCACCTAACTTGATCTTTTTTCTGCCCGAGGCGCGCCCTGTAGGCCGCCCTCACGTTGCGCCCTCCTAGAGGCCCCTCGTGCCACCCTTAGTGGCCCCGTTGCCGTCCTTTCCGGCCCCGTCGCTGCCCCTCTAGGCCCCTCGCGGCCCCTTCACGGCCCTGTCGCCGCCGCTCTAGGCCCCGTCGCCGCCCCTCTAGGCCCCTCGCGGCCCCTTCGCGGCCCCGTCGCCGCCCCTAGCGGCCCCGACGCCGCCCCTCTAGGCCACTTGCGGCCCCTTTGCGGCCCCTTCGCCGCCGCTCTAGGCCCCGTCGCCGCCCCTCTAGGCCCCTCGCGGCCACTTCGCGGCCCCGTCGCCGCCACTTTCGGCCCCGTAGCCGCCCCCTCTAGGCCCCTTACGGCCCCTTCACGGCCTCGTTGCCGCCCCCTCTAGGCCCCTTGCGGCCCCTTTGCGGCCCCGTCGCCGCCCCTAGCGGCCCCGTCACCGCCCCTAGAGGCCCCGTCGCAGCCCTTCGCGGCCACCTCGCCGCCCTTAGCGGCCCCGTCGCCGCCCCTAGCGGCCCCATAGCCGCCTCTACCGGCCCCGTCGCTGCCTCTACCGGCCCCGTTGCCGCCTCTACCGGCCCCTTCACCGCTGAGCCGCCCAGCAGCCAAACCGCCGAGTCGCCCAGCAGCCGAGCCGCCCAACAGCCGAGCTGCCGAGCCGCCCAGCAGCCAAGGCGCCGAGCCGCCGAGCCGCCCAGCAACCGAGCCGCCAAGCCGCCCAGCAGCCGAGCCGCCCAACAGCCGAGCCGCCGAGCCGCCGAGCCGCCCTACCGTCGAGCCGCTACTGTTCCTACCGGCGCGCCCCGGCCCTCCTTACTCGGACTGGTGAGATCACTCCCTGCTAGACCACTGCAGTCATGGCTACCCCCAATGTCCTTACCTTTGATGCTGAGGGTCGTGCTGTTGACTTTGAGGTCTGGGTCGATGACCTCCAGGTGTTCCTGTAGTGCGATAGGGCAGACGGACTCTCCCTGTTCGATCTCACCTCTGGTGCCTCTCCTGCCCCACCTGCTACTGCTGATAGCACTGTTCGCTCACAGTGGGCCACACGCGATGCTGCTGCCCGTCTTGCTGTGCGTCGCCACTTACCGACCACCGAGCGTGCGCACTTTCGCCAGTACAAGAGTGCTAAGACCTTGTATGACGCTGTAGTTGCACGCTACTCTTCCCATGCCACTACTGCGCTTAGCCGCCTCATGCTGCCGTACCTCTTCCCTGACCTTGCTGCCTTTCTCACAGTCGTTGACCTCATTACACACCTTCGCACTAGCGACACTCGCTACCGCGTTGCGCTTCCTGCTGAGTTCTGTGCCAAGAACCCCCCCCCCCCCCCATGTACATCACCCTCTACTACATAGTCACCCGGCTCCCTGACTCCCTTCGCTTAGTCAGGGACCACTTCCTCTCAGTTTGCCCCACCACACTCACCGTTGACCTCCTCGAGGAGCGCCTCCTAGCAGCAGAGAAGAGCATAGTAGCTGTAGGAGCCTCTCGTGGTGACCCTCGAACCCCCGTCTTTGAGGGGTGTTCCCCCTCCCCCCTCTTGCCCTCTGTTTCTTCTACTGCTACGGCCGACCTCGTTGGTTTCGAGTCGGTCGCCGCTGCGTCTGCCCCTAGCAGACTCCGCACCGGCAAGGGCAAGGGGGGCAAGGGCATTGGAGGGGCTGGCGGGGGCGGTGGAGGTGATCGTGGAGGCAGTGGAGGGGGTGGGGGTGGTGGTGGGAGTGGTGGCGGGGGTGGAGGTGTCGGTGGCAGCAGTCGAGGCGGAGGAGGCGGCGGTGGTGGCGGAGGGAGCGGAGGCGGCGGAGGTGGCGGAGGCGGCGGAGGCAGCGGTGGAGCTGGTCGCGGCTCTGCGCAGAGGAGTGGCTCTAGTGGTGGTCCGCGCCACCAGCAGCAGCGCAGTCGTGAGACCCCATCCCCCGAGCAGCTTCGTGAGTGGTACGCTGGGCGTCAGTGTGGTGGGGGTACTGGTCTCTGCACCTACGTCCTCCGTACTAGCGACCGCGCTGGTGAGCAGTGCGAGGGCCCGCACTCCACCTAGCGCTGCTTCGGCCGCGTGACGGACGCGTAACGTCACCAATTCCCTGACGCCACTGAGATCCCTCGCTGGGGAGAGCTGTCTAGGGCGAGGGTTGCTATCTTTGGTCTTGATTATGATGCTATTCTTGCTGCCATGTATGCTGTGTCTACTAGTGATGAGGGTGACTGTTACCTGTGTGTTCCGCCTGACCCGGGCATTGAGGCTGCTGCTCTAGGTGCTGGTGAAGCTGCTGCTCTAGGTGCTAGTGCGTCTGCTGCCCCAGGTGCTGGTGAGTCTGCTCTCTCAGGTACCACGTCGGCTCAGGCCTTACACACCTTCACCCTTGACTCGGGTGCTTCCCGCTCCTTCTTTCGAGACCGCACCACGCTTACGCCGCTTAGTCGGCCGGTTGCGGTCTCCCTAGCGGACCCCTCTGGGGGTCCTGTCCTTGCTAGATTCTCCACTGTCTTACCGTGCCCGGCAGCCCCCTCTGGCACCCTGTCAGGTCTATACCTTCCCTCGTTCTCTACGAACTTGGTGAGTGGAGCTGATCTACATGATAGGGGGGTTAACCAGTTCACTCCTGCGAGTCAGCGGGTGACCCACTGCACGTGTGCTCGGACGGGCCGACACTTGGCCAAGTTTACCCGTCGGCCGGGGTCGAGCCTGTACACACTGACTACTGAGTCTCCTCCAGTTGCTGAGTCTGGTCAGGTAGCTGCGTCGAGTCAGGTGTTTGCTGCAGCGTCCAGGTCTGGTCCTGAGTCTGTGCCCTGCTCGTGTCGTCTCCTATCCCACCGGACTCTCCTTTGGCACCACCGCCGTGGTCACCCCTCCCTGCCTCGTCTCCGAGGCATGGCCTCACGTGTCCTTGTCTCTGGTCTCCCCCGGTCCCTACCTCCCCTACCTCCGGGGCCTGCCCCTACCTGCGTCCCCTGCGTCGAGGGGCGACAGCGCGCTGCCCCTCACTCCTCCGAGTTTCCTCCAACAGAGGCTCCGCTGCAGACTCTTCACATGGACGTGTGGGGCCCCGCCTGCGTCCGTGGACAGGGTCACGAGCGTTACTTCCTCTTGGTGGTTGACGAATTCTCGCGTTACACCACGGTGTTCCCCTTGCGCAGCAAGGGTGACGTCACTGAGGTGTTGATCGACTGGATCCGCGCAGCTCGTCTCCAGCTCAGAGAGAGTTTCGGCTCGGACTTTCCTGTTCTGCGTCTGCACTCTGACAGAGGCGGGGAGTTTTCCTCTGCCCGCCTGGGAGCCTTCTGTCTTGCACAGGGCATCCGCCAGACGTTCACGCTTCCGGACTCTCCACAGCAAAATGGGATTGCTGAGCGCCGCATTGGCATGGTCATGGACGTCGCTTGTACGTCCATGATCCATGCGGCTGCCCCCCATTTTCTGTGGCTGTTTGCGGTTCAGTACGCAGCGCATCAGCTCAACCTTCAGCCCCGGGTCTCCTTGCTGTCGAAATATTTTGTCATGTTTTATAATTGCTTGTAGTTGTAGTTAGTGTAGTTATGTAAACTTTTGTTGGTGGTGCACCTTATTATGTTTCTATGCTATATGTACCCCTAAACCTATAGTGAAACCCACCTTTTCACAATTTTCCTCTCAACTCACTCGACTCTCACCCTAGGGGAAAACCCGCTCGATACTAAGTTAGGGCCTAGGCTACTAAGCCTAGGCCCCACGTTTCTACTCTCTATTACCTACTATCTTGACATGGTATCAGAGCTGTTTTCGTCCTGGCCTGTGGGCCCGCGTTACTCTTCCGCTGCTGAGATTTTCCGGTCGCGCGCCTAGGGCGCGTGACGAATTTTAGTTTTACCTTGTCCCGCCCACGGGCGTGTGACTCCTATCCTGCCCGTCGCGCGCCCCGTGGCACGCGACGGTGCCCTTTATCTGCCCATCGTACGCCCCGAGGCACACGATGGTGCCCTGCTCGTCGTGCGCCCCGAGGCACACGATCGGGCCCTTTTATCCTACCCGTCGTGCGCCCCGTGGCACTGGCCCGCGACGGGCCTCTCCGCCCCTGCACTCCCTGCTGCCGTCCCTGACCCATCTGCACCGACGCCTCTTCGCCGCTCTGCGGCTTTCTTCCTTCCCACCCCCCCCTTTCTCTTGTCTCCCTGCAGCCGTGGGGAGGAGGGTATGGGGGTGGAGGGTGTTGGAGCGTGGGGTCAACTCTCTCCCTTTCCCTCCTCCTTCTTTCAGTCCCACCGCTGCAGCTGCCGCTAGGGGAGGAGGGTGTGAGGATGTGGGTGAGGGGGGGGGGTGGTACAAGGGTGGCGGGGGTGAGGCAACAAGCAGCCGTCCCTCCACCTTTCCTCTTTCCCCCCTTTCTCTGCTGCTTCTGCAGCAGTGTTGGGGAGGGGAAGGAGGAGGGTGAGGAGATGGTAGGGGTACCTGCTGTTGCTGTAACTACACACCTACCTACAAGCATTATGGGGGCGTGTCGAAATATTTTGTCATGTTTTATAATTGCTTGTAGTTGTAGTTAGTGTAGTTATGTAAACTTTTGTTGGTGGTGCACCTTATTGTGTTTC